GCGCGTACGAAAACATATATTCATTAAAAGTCGTGGAGTGTTTACCGGAGTCTATCAAAAGTAATAAACTGTATTTAATTTGTATAAAAATTAATAGATTACATATATTTTGTAAAACAAAGAATTGCTAAGAAACGCTATGTAATTTTGATTAAAATAAATCTGCAAAAAAAAAACCGTCATTCATTGTAACAGAAGTCGTTATAATTATATATGGTTTCCTTGTCATAAATCACGGTTATAAATAAGTCATTATGTGCACCTGATGAACTTTAATCAAATGCTGTTCTTAAGTGATGTGCGTAACGTGTAAAAAAGTTATTAAGTCACATAAATGACCTTTGTATTACAATAAAATGCACCATTATGTTTTTTTTATTTGTTAAAAACTATTATTGTACTTTACCGAGTTTCTAAGAACCAGTTTAACCAAAATTGTAATTATCGACTTTAAAGCTAGGTCATAAGCATAATGCATAATGTCCAAATTTGAAAAGTTAGAAATAAATGAATTTTTGTATAATATAATACTTAACGAAACGAGCTCAGCGGTATTATAAACTGTACTTAGTGATTTTTTGTAGTTAATGAGTTCTTACACTAAGCCGGCGATATACTGCTTTCAATTTAAATTATTAAGGACAATATTCATATTTTATTTTTTATTCTTCACATGAATTATTTGGTGTAGAACTAACCAAACAATTTTTAAATATTTAAACCGGAAAAATAGTAATGGCATCTGAAGAAATCAGACCTATTATTATGGTAGCAGGACTGCATACGTACTCCATAGAGTACTAAACATAGTTAGAGGTTACATTACTTGGAATATATATAAGTAGGATCTTTACAAATGTATACTAGTAGGTGCATGAACCAGTATATACCAAATTCTCTTCAAATGACAACAATGAATCACAACGCTGAGTAATGACGACGTTGACTACTCGGAAGTGCAGTGGATACGCGTTTGGCCATGGACCTGTGAGGCCGTGGTTTCGAATCTCGCACGTTACCTACCTACCTAGGGAACTTCTCGGTCGAGATACTGCTAACCAAGTAATGCTATCTGCCTTAGATAATAGGCGGATAGCATTACTAGCGCTTGGTTATCGGCTCTATGGTCTCCAACTTGCATGGTTAGGGTGATAGCTGAGTGAGTGCTAAACTTTCAAGTAATACATATTAGCTGAGTAATAATCTGTGTTGATGATAATGACGATGATGATAGTAAAAGTAGTTTGATACTCAATAATATAAGTAGAATATTTAGTATCATACTAATGTAATATTATCGAGTATGGTTGGCAACGCTTTTGTCCTTATCAATATAAATATGACTTCAATCCACTAACGAGCCGCTTCTATAATATTTATCAGTCTATTTATCTAGTATCTAACCGGTTCTTGACACGAGCACTGGTGACTTGCACTATAGTACATACAGTGGAGTCGTCTTCGGTTAAACGTGTATTTGAGTTCAATAAGCATTCAGAGGTATGTATTTTTTTTTTCAAATATTTTATAAGATCTTAATTACTTTTAAAAATTACTCATACTGAAAATTATACACAATATAATAAAATTTATGGTTAGTAAATTTATAATTATTTTTATTACTTATTGTTTTTAAGGCGACCTCAAAACAAAATTTGAAGACCTGTATTGAAAATGATGTGGTGGGAAATAATAATTATTTATTTAAAAATAGATATTTTAGCAAATATATTTCTTAAATTTGTTACATAATTATATCTTTTATTATCATTATTTATTTTTCCTATATATTATATCGTCATTTTAAACATAAAACTTGTTCAATAATTATCGATGAATAGGCTTAAAAAAATTATATAATTATTAGAAAACTGCGACATGATTGCACAAAAATATACAGCCTTTACTTAGTCTAAATTAAAGCTAATTATATATATAATAATATTATGTTTGCAAATTCACACATACGATACGTAATGTTTTTTATATTCAGTTTATTTCTAGTTACTTATTTACGATGAGAAGAATTTACTTGCTTTATTTGTTTTCGTATCGATGATATTTCTCAAATTTTTCATTATATTGAAAACTAGCTGATCCACGCGACTTCGTTCGCGTGTTAGTGTTTTTATGTTTCTGCGCGGAACCCTGATTCTTTTTCTAAAATAAAAGTAGCCTATGTTACTCCTTATAAAATCAGCTATCTACCAGTGAAAGTCCCGTCAAAATCGGTCCAGCCGTTTCGGAGATTACCCGGAACAAACAGACAGACAGACAGACAGACAGACAAAAATTTTAAAAATTGTATTTTAGTTATAGGTATCGTATTTACTTTCATATGCATTTAGTAAAAAACTGTAATTTTGACATTACAAACAGACACTTCAATTTTATTTATTTGTATAGATAAATTTTATTCAAAGTATACACTGATCACTCCAAACCTGACTGAATGTGGAAAGAATGTCATTTTAAAACGGTTACAAGATGTTCATTGTACATATGTATTTCTATTGAGTAGGCGTGATAGATATGCCTTGTATATTAAGTAACATAATCTCATCTTGAGGTAAGCCGTAAACCAAAGGAATGTTACTGTAAATTAAGAACTGTCTATCATATTAAGCTATTACTTGAATTGAAAATCTATTTAGAAATATTGTTATGGATGAAAACGAAAGAAATAAGAAAGAAATATTTGGAAGATGTATGAAGTTCGCCAACACACATTGGGGCAGCCGACAGTAGTGTAGGCCTATGTCCAGCAGTGGGACATATATGGGCTGTATCTTTAACTTTCACTACACTGCTGGCCGTATGAGCTTATGCCTGCTCAGCGAGCTATGGAAGGGGCAATGCTCGAAGTTTCTCGACGTGATATATTTCGCAATGAATCCGCAGAAATTCGCAATGACACTAGAGTAACCCAATTAGCCCAACGGATCAGTAAGCTCAAGTGGCAATGGACTTGCCATTGAGTTCATTATTTGATCTATACAGGGTTATTTTGCAATAACTGGCCAAATTTTTAGAGAAGATTAGTCACCTAAGCTATCCTGCATTGAAAATGGTCGTTTCCTTCGTCGCTCGGTTCGCAGGAAGCGCCCCGCTCCTTACATACCCGCCCGCCTTCTACAAACATGCTCGGCACTGTGTTTCGACGCGAGTTTGTAGTACGTGTGTTTGCGCGTCATCATCATTTCGTCATTACAGCCCTTCACGAGTCCACTGCTAAACATAGACCTCACTCAAGGAACGCCACAACGCATGGTCCTGAGCCACCTGCATCCATCGACTTCCTGCATGTCTTACCAGGTCACCTCTCAATCCAAAGAAGGGAACGCCTTACACTTCGCCTGCTGGTACTAGGCTGCGACTCGAGAACCTTTCTTCCCCATCGCTTGTCGGTTCTTCGAGCTATATGGCCGGCCTATTGCCACTTCAGCTTACTAATCCGTTAGCGCGTACGAAAACATATATTCATTAAAAGTCGTGGAGTGTTTACCGGAGTCTATCAATAGTAATGAACTGTATTTAATTTTTATAAAAATGAATAGATTGCATATATTTTGTAAAACAAAGAATTGCTAAGAAACGCTATGTAATTTTGATTAAAATAAATCTGCAAAAAAACCGTCATTCGTTGTAACAGAAGTCGTTATAATTATATATGGTTTCCTTGTCATAAATCACGGGTATTAATAAGTCATTATGTGCACCTGATGAACTTTAATCAAATGCTGTTCTTAAGTGATGTGCGTAACGTGTAAAAAAGTTATTAAGTCACATAAATGACCTTTGTATTACAATAAAATGCACCATTACGTTTTTTTTTATTTGTTTAAAACTATTATTGTACTTTATCGAGTTTCTAAGAACCAGTTTAACCTAAATTGTAATTATCGACTTTAAAGCTAGGTCATAACGTCCAAATTTGAAAAGTTTGAAAATAAATAAATTTTTGTATAATATAAAACTTAACGAAACGAGCTCAGCGGTATTATAAACTGTACTTAGAGATTTTTTGTAGTTAATGAGTTTTTGCACTAAGCTTCAATTTAAATTATTAAGGACAATACTCATATTTTTATTATTTATTTTTCACATGAATTATTTGGAGTAGACCTAACCAAACAATTTTTAAAAATTTGAACCGGAAAAATAGTAATGGCACCTGATGAAATCAGACCTATTATTATAGTAACAGGAATGCATACGTACTCCATAGAGTACTAAATAGAGTTAGAGGTTACATTACTTGGAATATATATAAGTAGGATCTTTACAAAAATGTATACTAGTAGGTGCATGAACCTATTTAGTAGTAAGGTAAGTAAGTATATACCAAATTTTCTTCGAATGACAACCTCACACGCACAAGAATCACAACGCTGAGTTATGACGACGTTGAATACTCGGAAGTGCAGTGGATACGCGTTTGGCCAGGGACCTGTGGGGCCGTGGATTTGAGTCCCGCACAGAATAAGTGCTTGTATGGCCTAAAACTAATTGTTCCAGGTCTATATGTTATATTCTTGTGCAGTATATGCATGCAAACCACTTCTAAGATACAGGAGAAAATCCTACGGTAACTTCTAAGTCGAGATACTGCTAACCAAACAAAATATTAAACTTAGATGATAGGCAGATAACAGATGGGTTTCGGCTCTATAGCCACGAAATTACATGGTTAGGGTGATAAAGTGAGTGCCAAACTTTCAAGTAATACATATTAGCTGAGTAATAATCTATATTGACGACGATGATGATAAAACTAGTTTGATACTAAATAATATAATATAAGTATAATATTTAGTATCATACTAATATTATAATATTGAGTATGGTTGGCATCGCTTTTGTCCTTATCAACATAAATATGACTTCAATTATTAGTTTTAATATAAAGCCATTAACGAGCCGCTTCTATAATATTTATCAATCTGTTTATCTAGTATCTAACCGGTTCTTGACACGAACACTCGTGACTTGCACTATTAGTACATACAGTGGAGTCGTCTTCGGTTAAACGTGTATTTGAGTTGAATAAGCATTCAGAGGTATGTTTTTTTTTTTCAAATATTTTATAGACCTTTATTACTTTTAAAAATTATACATTACCTTATACAGAAAATTATACACAATATAATAAAATTTATAATTATTTATATTACTTATTGTTTTTAAGGCGACCTTAAAACAAAATTTGAGAAGCTTTATTGAAAATAATGTGGTGGGAAATAAAAATTATTAATTTAAAAATAAATATTTTCGCAAATATATTTCTTAAATTTGTTTCATATATTTTTTTATTATCATTACTTATTTTTCAAATTTATTATGTCTTTATTTTAAAAATAAAAATTGTTCAATAATTATCGATGAATAGGTTTAAAAAATATTAATATATTTATTAGAAAACTGCGACATGATTGCACAAAAATATACAACCTTTACTTAGTCTAAATTAAAGCTAATTATATACATAGTATTATGTTTGCAAATTAACACATACTCTACGTAACGTTTTTATATTCAGTTTATTTATAGTTACTTATTTACGATGAGAAGAATTTACTTGCTTTCTTTGTTTTCATATCGATGATATTTTTCAATTTTTTTATTATATTGCAAATAAATTTTATTCAAAGTATACATTGATCACTCCAAACCTGAGAGAATGTGGGAATAATGTCATTTTAAAGCACTTACAAAATGTTCATTGTACATATATATTCCTATTGAGTAGGCGTAATAGATATGTCTTGCATATTAAGTAACATAATCTCATCTTGAGGTAAACCGTAAACCAACGGAATGTTACTGTAAATTAAGAACCAGCTATGACTTGAATTAATTTCTATTTGGAAATATTGTTATGGATGAAAACGAAAGAAAAAAACATTTCGAAGGTGTGTGAAGTTCACCAACATGAATTGGGGCAGCCGACAGCAGAATAAGCCTGTGTCCAGCAGTGGGACATATATGGGCTGTATCTTTAACTTTCACTGCTAGCCGTATGAGCGTATGTCTGCTCAGCGAGCTATGTAAAGTGCTCGAAGTTTTCTCTATGTGATATATTTCGCAATGAAGATATCCGCAATGGCACTAGAGTAACCGAATTAGCCCAACGGATCAGTAAGCTGAAGTGGCAATGGACTTGCGTTGATTTCATTATTTGATCTATACTGGGTTATTTTGCAATAACCGGCTAAAGGAAATTGTAAAAACTAGCCTAAGAACCAACACATTATATTTGACAATTACCAAAATTTTTATCCTTAATTATTAGATAACATTCAATAGATAGTAACGGATACTTCTGAATTGTAAAATCAAAATAAAAAGGACTTTTTAGATTTTGAACTTTGTACCTATTTTTAATACTAATGTGCAACGTTTATGGGCTCCTGTGATATGGCCAATCGCACAATACTTTCAATGACATATTTCAAAAGTTGTCATAAACTCAAATATATTATGAAAACCTTAATATTTTAAAATATACTTCAAATTAATATATACCACAAGGAACTGGGATACAGTAAATCATCTGTTTTCATTTAAAACAACAATACTATTGTACTCTCATTGGCCAAATCAGTAATGTACTGCGCAAAAAAAAAACGTCAATAACGTTGACAGATGACAAGACATTAAAATAGATAGACATCAGACGTGCGATCTTTTTCGTTTCGTTTGAAAAAATACATTTCTGCAAATGTTTTCGGAATCTAAATGGACTGTGCAGTTGGTTTGTTATGCGATAAGTTCACCTAATCACAATCTGAGTTTTATTTACCGTATAAGTACTAGGCTAATACTAAACTGCTTACATTAGCAATAACATATTAATGTTTCATAAAAATAAATTATAACCTCAAAATCTCTATAACTGCTAATGCTAATATCTATGTTTTCAGAAGTGTTCGTCAGGAGTTATTCTTCTTACATACAATTATGTGTAATTTCGGACTTAAATTTTTTTTTACTGTTCGTTTTTAGGCGAACGTTGTATGGATGCAGAACAATGTCATGTGCAGAGAAAATTCAGAATAAGTAATATAGGCAAATGGTGAAGAAAAATTAATTCAAAAAATCTAAATATTCTCTCCTTTTTATGTTTTAAATTCAAAATGCGTGGTAATTAATTATTTGAACTGATTTTACTGCGCACTCCACATTCGTAAGGGTCGATCGGTAGGCAAAAATGTTGTTGCCCATAAATCACATGAATTCAATTCAATTCAATTCAATTCAATTCATTTTATTCATTTGCGATATATGGGTTACAATAGGTCTTAAATAATTTAACAAAATACAGCCATATTCTACCTTCCGGTGTGCAAACTACTTAAATATAAGATTTTATTTATAATTAAAACTAAATGGAAAATTGCGATAATTACATTAACATAATATAACCCTATTTGTATATTTGCACTACTAACATAATAATAATTCACAAAATAATGATAAAATACATGTAATAATTAAAATTGTAATCTATACATATAATAAAACTGTAAATAGCAGATGTCTGTACATTTTATATTTTTGTAATAAAAGTGATTGAGGGGTACTAAAAATAAGTAATTAAATACATTTCTACCATTTTTAGAATTTTCTGTCTGTCTGTCTGTCTGTCTGTCTGTCTGTTTGTTTGTTAACGTATCACGTATAAAGTACTAATTTATATCATAAGAATTGTTAAGGAAATTATAAAGTGTATCTTCGGGTTACATTTAGTCTTTATTTCATTAAAATCAGTTCATTCCATCAAAAGTTATGATAAATATTCTGAAGTATGGGTAGGGAAGTATAGGTACGAATTTGCTCAACGGTGGCTTTGTTTGAGTCATCAGGTGCATTTTAAACTAATATCATATCATAAATCATAGTTAAATTATGTAAAATAATGATATAATTATGTATATCTAAAACGCAGTAAACAAAAGTATTAAAAAACGTATTAAATATATTATACAAAAATATATTAACCTTATTAACTAAATCTGAAGCACAATAGTTTTCCCATTTCTTCGATAGATGGTGGTGTTGTGAAAATGTAATGCAATTGCAATGTTTTTTTTTTCCTGTAGATGAGTTTTCATATTTACTGCTAATCTTTATTATATTACTCGCTGCCCTACTGCGTGTTGATAAACTCAATTTATTCTTTACCGCCGAGTACTCTATGTGGTAAATCAAATTTTAAAAGAGCTATTAACAAATCGTTGGTTTTGGCGAGAGTCAAACTTTATTTTTTGCTTACTGTGCAGGCACTGATTTATAAGTACTCTTGCGTTTTATATAATGTATCAATCGCGTCAATTAATCTCTTTTATTTTTAGAATTGATGTTAGCAGAGCCATCTCTCTTTAAATATATACATATAATAAAAATGATGATAACATATTGTGTCTCTTTCTGTACATTGTATAGGTATATATTTTGGTGGCTAAAATCATTATGGGGAACTGAAAATAATTAAATAAGAACATTTTATAATTATTAGAATTGTCTGTATGTCTATTTGTCTGTTATTATATGAACGCATCACGTCTAAAGTAAACATCTTTTATTTTCAAAGAAATCGTTAAGAAAATCATAAAGCGTATCTTCGAGTTACATTTAATCTATGTTTTATTAAAATTGGTTAATTCTATCGAAAGTAATGATTATTATTTTGAAATGTAGGTTCGAATTTGTTCAATGGCGCCATAAAATCTCAGAAATAGTAATAAAAAGATTTGTGTGTAAAAAAAACGTTCCATAATAATTAATATATTTATACTTAAAACACAAAAAGAGATTTAAAAAGGATATTTTCTCACACAAAGGACGTAATAGATGGAGTTGTACAAATTACAAACTTTTCTGAATTGCTGTGTTGAGATTTTTCGCCGATGAATCGTATTGAGACTTACTGAAGAAATTTGTATCCATCGAAGCCATACAACGGAATCCGACCAAAAATAAAAATTTTGCAACGAAATGTCGTGATATTGTATTTTTAATATACGCAAAATCAGTACTGCCACTTTAGCGCTTTGGGAACTAGATTTAGCGCTTTTTTGGAATGTATAGCGCGCATTTCGAAATTTTAGCCCTAGCTTAATCCAGCGCTTTTTGGTGTATTTAGCACACATTTCAATATTTTAGCGACTAGCGGGTTATTAACTCTTTTATAGCAGCACTGTTAGTCCACATTACCGATAATAATAATAATGACCTTTATTATTTTTTCCCACAAATAGTACATTGCAGTTTATCTTTTTCAAACATATTTTTTCCACAAAACAAAGAGCATGGGAGACGAGTCCAAACTAGGATACCCTGTGCTATGGATCTCCTGGCTTCCCCTTTAGGATGATCAACTTGATTTTTTTACCGACGACTATAAGCGGGGAAACCCCTTTATTAAAGTTTTTGTTCATGGTTTTGGCAACGCATTTATTTTGCTTTATTCAGTTTCAGTCAGTTGCTTAGAGCACAGCTAAGTTAAAAGTTACTTAGAAGTTATAACACAAAGAAACTGTGTTGCAACCGCAATCAGATGCTGACATCTGAAACTAAGTTGCGAAATACATTGCACTTTAAAACAATTAATGACATTTTTATTGTTCGTACAGTACTAACTACTGTTGACAGCAATTGCCATAATTATAAGTCGATGTCCTGCGAAGTATTGATACATCAAAAAAATATTGCCAGAAAAAAAACTTAATGTTGTTTTCTTTATTATGATTATATAAAAAAACACAAACTTTGTTTGTAGTTAATTTAGCGCGAAATCTAGGGCTTTTTTAAAGCGCTGTTTTCATGAAATCTAGCGCTTTTTGTGTTGTCCTAGAGCTGAATTAGTTTTTTTTATCTGGCAGCACTGCCCAAAAACCCTCTATTAAGAAGTAACTTTCCTTTCAGTTTTAAGCGCGTTCAGTTCCCAGTTACAGTGAGCGTGTGTTATGCGATGACCGTAAATAAAGCGCAAGGTCAAACTTTACGCGTTGTAGGAGTGTACCTCAGTACTGACTGTTTTGCACATGGCCAACTCTATGTTGCTTTTTCCCGCGTTAGTAGCCCCCGTAACCTTTTAGTGTACACCCCGGCTAAGCCTACTTCTCACGTCGTTTACACAGAAGCTCTATCATAAACGACTTAGAACTTTGATGATAATGATTTATTTAGTTACCACTTATTGATACAGTAATGAAATAAATCGTTTAATATTCTCTTACCTAAACGACAAATTGTTTATGTAAAACCTGTATACGCGAGCTACGCCGCGGGCACAGCTAGTGTCAAAATAATAATGTCAAAACGAGTATAAATTATTGTTTCAAAATTAATAACATAGATAACGTTTCGTTCAATAAATTTGATAGATAAAATTTAAAAATTGTCATATAAATAATCGTCAATATTATAATACGCTTTTTTGGTTAAAAATATGTTTAGTTGTTTCTTAAAAATGTGAAGGCTCTTAGAATCTCTTATATATTTAGGTAAATGGTTATACAGACGAGGACCCATACAGAATACGCTTTTTTGAAACAAAACAGTCTTACTATTGGGATGGCTCAATTTATCTTTATGACGCTGGACATTTAGTTTTTCGTAAAAACTTAAGTTTTGACGTATAAATAAGACTACCTCATATATATATAGACATGGCATTGTTAATAATTTTAAATTAATGAAGTATGGCTTACAGCTCTCACTTTGCTTAATTTTACAAATGGCTCGTAAGCATCTTTTTTGAGCTTTAAATACTGTTTCTTTGTCCGTACAATTACCCCAGAACATAATACCATATCTAAGTGTAGACATAACATAAGCATGATATGATGCCATTACGGCGGATGTGTCTACAACTTTTCCAAGCATATATAACGCATACGAAAAACGATTTAATTTCATACACACACTGCTCACATGAGACTGCCAGTTCAAATTGCAATCTACATTTATACCCAAAAATTTTATATTGTCTATGGTATTGATTTTTTGTCCTAGATAATTGATATTTAAATTATTTATTTTATTGCGTTTTTGATAGAATGTCATAAGTTTTGTTTTTTCTAAATTTACATTTAAATTATTTATGTTTAGCCAATTCATGATTTTCTCTAAAGCAAAGTGTATGTTACTTTCTAAATCTATTTTGTTTCTGCTAGTGAAAATAACTGTGCTGTCGTCAGCAAATAATACTATTTTGTGATTAATGACGTTGGGAAGGTCGTTGATATAAATAAGAAATAACAATGGTCCTAAAACACTTCCTTGCGGTACTCCAGTTTGTACGACTCTGTATTCAGAAACATAGGTTATTTCTTTTCTTGATTTTACACAAATTTTTGTAATGTGTGTACTTTGTTTTCTGTTAACTAAATATGATGTTAGTAGATCTAGTGCATTACCTCGAATACCGTAGGCTTCAAGCTTTTTGAGTAATATTTTATGATCAACATAATCAAATGCTTTAGTAAGATCCATGTAAAGTGCGCATACAGGTATTTTATTATTTAGGCTAGACATAACGGTATTAAAAAAATTGTATAGAGCCATATTTATAGTCTTATATTTTCTAAATCCTATTTGTTCTTCTCTCAGAATATTGTACGTTTCAAGGTAGTTATATAAAGAGTTATAAATTATTTTCTCAAATAATTTTGAGAGCACAGGTATAAGTGCAATAGGCCTATAGTTAGACATATTCTCCCGATCATTTTTTTTGAACAGTGGTTTGACAATGGTAGACTTTAGTCTTTCTGGAAATATACCATTACAAATACATAAATTGAAAATATAACTAAGTACCGGAGCAATTGTACGGATGCGTATTTTAAAACTCTTGTACAAATTTCATCACAACCAGTACTGTTTGTATTTTTAAGAGAATGAAGTTTGGGATAATTTGAAACAAAATTAGAAACCTTATTTACTCGTATTTTCAAAAACTGCAATAACGGTATATCATTATTTGCAAAATCTGGCTACTCTTTGAAAAATAACCCTGTATAGTTGAACCATACAACTGGTGGTGACGAAAGGTTATTGTGTCAAATATAGGGTGGGTCACCACTTAATACAATGATGACCTTATAGAACATGAAGGAAGTCGATGGTTGCAGGGAGCTCAAGACCGTGTTTCGTTGCATTCTTAGGGGAGGCCTATTTTCAGCAGTGAACTTGTCTTTAATAATAATGATGACGTTTTTTAATCTGTTAAATATGTTTGAACTATCTGTTCGAGGCGACTGCAAATTTAACGAATTGATAAATCATATCAATGATGGAGTTGTGTGTACCCTATGATAACATTCGTATTTTAAATGCTAAACTAGCGATAACAGGCTGGCAACATTAACTATTTCAAATAATCTCATCTGATTTTGATAATCACAAATCTCGACGATAGCAATTTTTTTTTCTTTATAATAAATTAATACCTAGCAAACACCTATGTTTCTTAAAAGGTTACGTGTCTGATAAAGTAAATATTTCACGCTTATTACATCATAGAAATAGAAATATATTTTTTTATTTTATATAGATTATACATAATACTAATTTCACTTTCTATCATGAGTATAATGTCAGTAATAATTAATAGCTCTACTGGGAATGGACCCATGCCTTACATCATTCCAGTATAAAATAGAACCATAATTCTGCTGTTTTAATATATATTCATATTGAGAATTGGATACTTTTTTTGCTGGTAATAAGGCACTTCATCTTAGCGTTCAAACCCAAGTCAGACCAGTGTCAGTTATTGTGTTCTTCTGTTAAGAAATTCTCAGTAGCAACCCGGAGACAGGAAGTTGGGAGTGTTTTAATCCCGTGCCTCGAAAAGCATGTAAAGCCGATAGTCCTGCGCCTGATTTCTCTCTAGTCTTATTGGGTTACCGACCTATCGAATTATCGAGGAATAAAGAGAGCATCTGTGCTTGCAAAAACATCCGTGCACTATAATCTTATTATGCCCAGATGGCTAGTCTCTGTTGAAACTGGCCGCTATGACAGGAATTCGGTCATTCATCAGTTTACCTCCGACTTCCGAATACGGTTGGTAATTTCCAATACCTAATTGCGTAAGAGCTTATTACAGTACTTCCCGCGCATCCGAACAAAATCATCAAATAAAAACTATGTAAAACTTAGAAGATTACAAGATTTAATAAATGTTTAATATACGAAAGCAACATAAACATTTACATCCTTATCACAAACACAAGTTATGAAGTCATGTTATCATGGTATCGTTAACGTTGGTTGATTAGAAATGTTTTCAATTTTGGCTTCGCGATAAAATTAATTGAAGCATGAGCAACGATAAAATACTATATCTGTTACCGGCCAAGCCTGATTTGAGGAATAAGTAATATAAGTATTAAAACTTAAAATACTGTGATAAAAACATTACCAGTTTTATTATCAGTACAAAAATAGACCACTCCTAGATATGGCATGTCCAGAAGTGGCCTATTTCATGAATGAGGGCTATTAATCTTCGATCCACTTGCTATTTGGAACCGAGTTGAAGTTCTTTGTTACACAATCTCATATAACTGGAAAGTTGCGAATTAAAGAAAATTCTATCAGTTTCTAGAGTTTTATATAAATATACACAACAATGTCTCATTGATTTGTTCCTGAATGTTTTTCAAATTTTGAAACACCTTTATTTTTTCTTCTTCTGGGAACATCTGTGATTAGATTTATTGATTTCTAATCTAATTAATATATAATATGACGAATATTACAGAAAAAAAATTACCCTTTATATTTTCCTATCAATTCCCCTTCATGAGTTTGTACAATATTTTATCTCGTTCCTAAGTGGCGTTGCTCTAGTGGCAAAAAAGGGCTTGGATACTCTCATTGAAAAGTCAATTTGCTGTAATAATCACGTTTTGACGATGGCAGTACCAATTTTTTTTTACCTCTGTCGCTGCTTTCTTCTTTTTCTGGTTTGGTTTCTTTTATAAAGCTAAAGTGACCAACAAATTTACTTTGTCTAAATACTACTCGTAGCAAGTGGCTACTGCATTCTATGTTCACCTGTAGTAAAATTCAAACAAAGTAGTCACGTCACCTCTGAGGACTAAGTTAGAACATCTCACAAACTGTAATTATATTGCCTCTCTATACCCTTTAGCAGTACAGGTATGAAATTTTGGCGGTAGAAATAGGTGATACCTAAACAAATGAACTCAGAAGAAGAGTCCTACCACCTAGTAATAATAAAATTTAAAATTAGATTGTAATATTAAACATACAAACTTAACGTGGTAGAGCCATGCTGCAGCTATATTAATAGTATAGTTGCAGCAGAAATGGTTCGGCTCGACCAGGGAAGGACCACGCTCTCACAGAATACCAGCATAAAATAGCAGCTTAATGCTGCTGCGTTTCTTATGGTGAAGAGTGAGTGTAGAGAACCTCTCTACACTCACTCTTCACCTATTTTATTGGAAAAGAGGCATTCTATCTTAGACCTCACGGCTGAAAACGCATCTGCATTTTAATTCGCAAACGAAGATAGATGTAGATGTCCATGGGCCACAGCAACCACTTACCATCAGGTGGACTGTGTGCTTGTTTGTCGCTCTAATCCTATAAAAAAAAATAAGCTTCCAGTCAGTTTTTTTGCTCATACTAAATTTGACCATGATCTGCATTCCAAAGAAAAAGCATGATAAACGTGCGAAGTCATAATAAAATGGCTATTCGTCGTTTTTTTAATGTTCCAGCATTATAACTAAATTATTAAATTAATTTTAGTAATATTTGTTTTCAGAAATCATGGTGCTGACGCTGTATAAACTGGATGCAAGTCCACCAGTCCGATCTGTGTTAATGGTTATTCACGCAGCAAAGATTCCGGATGTAAAATATGTGGATGTTAATTTGTTTACAGGTGACCATCTTAAAGAAGAATATCTGAAAGTACGTTAATAAAAATATTTGATAGTTCGAGTAAATTTAGTTAGCCGAGTGAGTATCGGCATCATAAGAGAAATCAATCTATTACTTTCTGTGGGTGTCACAAAAGGCGAGTTTGAGAAATGCCTGAAAAATTTCATGGCCTTCGTGAGATGGCAATATCACCAACTAATATAAGCCAAAAGCATCTAATATAGAGCCACGCTGTAGTTATATTATGGTTGTATCACGAATGGGTCAGCTCAACCGGGTAAGGATCCCGCTCTCACAGAATACCAGATTAAAATAGGAGCTTATTACTGCTGTGTTTTGTATTGTAAACTAGAGACCCTTTTTACTGAAAACGAAGCATTTCATCTTAATTTTCAGGAGTGATAACACATCTGCATTTATATTCTTAATCGAGGGCAGGTGTAGACGTCTGTGGGCTACAGCATATACTTACCATCAGGTAGAATGTGTGCTCGTTTTTCACACTTCTTATAATATAAAAATGAATCGCTGAATGTGTTGCTAAGCACAAATCTCGAGAGCAGCTGAACCAATTTCGCTAATTCTTCTTTTATAATATTCTCTGAAGTACGAAGATGGTTCTTACGGAGAGAAAATTTTAAAAAAATGCCCGAAAAAGTCTAAAAACTACACTTTTCTCTATTCCCATACAAAAGATTCGTAATAATACTTAAAAGTTAATTTGAACTTTAATACCGTACCATAAAGTTTAAGTGTTAGTGCAGGGATCTGGGAAAGCAAAACAATTGAGTGACGTTAGTATCGTATAAATATTAATGTCAATATTTTTCAATATTTATACGATGGTAACATTACTCAAAAACAAAATTAGGGTTCCGCGCAATAAAACTGATATAAACTGATATTGTTAATATAATAAATGCAATATAAGAATTAAAATACAATATAAAAATAAATACAACAATGGAGACTCATATCCAGCAGTGGATTAATAATATATATATGTAGTTATTAATAATGTAATGAAGGAGAAGAAAACTGTAATAGATACTGAATGATTTAAGAGAAAAAAATAAGAGATTATATGAAGTGCGATCTACTATATTCTTAGAGGTCAATATATCTGTAGTCTTCTTTGTACTACGCTGGTTGCATGTAACCAAGGGCTTCAGTCGATACCATCAGTATCAATTGGAACTTGTTTGCTACCCATTTAGGCAATGTGTCCTCTCACACCTTCACCACACTCGTTAGATTTCAATCAATATGTTATATAATTCTTATCATTAACTATTAATGTATTATGTTACTCTCAAGTAATTAAAATTGCGTGTTATTATTTTTTACAATTCCTAATACAGCCTAATTTTTTTTTCAGTTAAATCCACAACATACTATACCGATGTTGACAGATGACGATTTTGCCATATGGGACAGGTAAATTGTGCTACAGTTAAGATGCAATTTCGTTTTTAAAAACACAAGCAATAGTTTGAGAACACAATATCAATTTCTATTTCAAAATTTGCTATAACAATCCTAAATATAAAAGAGTTTGCTTGGTAGTGGAAGTGTCCATTAAGCTTTGATACGCAGTTAGATTTTCATTATTACTATTTTAACCATTGGGCTTGTTTAATTTTTAAACAGATATCATTTTTTTTATTTCCAGTCACGCTATAGCTGCTTATTTACTGACTAAGTACAGTAATGACAAATCTTTATACCCCACGGATGCTAAGAAGAGGGCAGTCATAGATCAAAGACTGCACTTCGACAGTGGCATATTGTTCCCTAGCGGTCGTGGAGCATTGGTGAGTAGACTTATTTCATCGTAATGTCCGCTATTATGTAAATGTAATTGAGGATTTCATAAAAAGTGACAATTGCTATTTTTTTAATATGGTAATAAATATAGTGAGTGTATAGAACTGGAGTCTCTTTAAATTGGTAAACAGCCATTTTGTATTAGTCTTTAGACGTAGCAACAAAGGAGAAAGAGACGTCTCCATACATTCTTGGGCCCAGGTGTTAACAAAATGAAAGTTGGACCATTTGAAAGCGTATATATAAACGATTCATAGCTGAAAATCTAGTGCGATTTGTCAATCTAGGAGCTGAGTTATTGTAGAATAAGTAAAAGTGAGATTGAGTATTACCTACACTGTAACAGGTGATTTTTCACTGTTATTACACTTTAACTGGATATTTTTCACTATAATTACTTAAAAATATAAAAGCAGGATCAGTATAAAGTCACTAAAGAAAAGTTATGGTTAATTAGGAAACAAAATGGTGAAACAATTAATAAAAGTTAAATTAATAACAACTAAGTGAAGTGAATATAAGGGATATCGATCTGAGATCGATTACATGAACTGTTGTTGTTACTGTTACATGTACAATATTGATATTTTGTATTTTTCATTATTATTTTGTAGATATGTTCGCAATTTTTATCTCTTTAACACAGAAAAATAATCGAAAATAGACATTAACACGCTCAATTTAATCAAGAATCGATTATATTGCGTTCATTTCCAATCGTATCGAAAATCTGTCTTTTTCTTTAAACGAATAGTTTGAAGTTTGAACTGTCAAGCCAAGTTTCAAATTCAAAATGAGAAGTCCTCTATTGAAAGATTGAAAGATAACGTGTACAAACGAGAATTTCATAAGTGTATTCTTTATGGTAATCGATTTATATTGCCATAAAATGTTTATTTTTCTTTTTTCTATTAGCGAATGGTATATTTTATTTCCAAATGAATGTATCATTCAAAGTAAATAATATAATTTTAAAACCTTGCAAGCTTTTTCATTTTTTTTTTGGATCCGAATAAATCGATAAAATCGATTTTCTAACTTATTTTTTATTTTATTGTTTTTTCGAATTCTAGATTGTAAAAAGGGCTACTTTTTTGTATTTTACTTTAGAAAAATATAGCCAATTTTTTACAGTATAAACCAATTAGTTAACTTTAGGCCCAAAAATCCCATTCTCCTTTGCGATTTTACTCATAATCTATAGACACATAACATTCACTTACTATCAAGTTGACTGTGTGCTCATTTGTCACCCTTACTTTTTTTTTAAATGCTCATTTTTTATTTGTTTTAGTTGGTATTAATAGGTTATCCAATTCCAATTCAGAATCGGATAACCTATTAATACCAACGAGGAGTTCCATTTCACATATCACGTAAGAGTGTATGGGCCTAAATTTACTTACCACCCGGTGGATAGTGTGCTCCTTTGTCAAGCATACTTCTAAAAAAATTGTCTTGAACTCAGACTTTCGTTTTACAGGAACCGGTTCTCTTTAAGGGTGAAAAGGCTTTCAGACCGGAGGCTTTAGAAAAAATTAAATCAGCATACGAATTTTCTGAGAAATTTCTTACAAATACATGGATGGCTGGAAATGACTTAACATTAGCTGATATATGTTGCGTTTCTTCAATTAGTACTCTGAATGAGATACTTCCAATCGACGCTAAATTGTAAGTTTATATATTCATTTGTTAATATATTTTTTATAAAATCAAATGTTACTTTGAGCCGTGATTACACAAGGGTTTAGCGTTAAACGCTAGTTCGATGCCCACCAAGGCATCGAACTATATTAATTGTATAGTTGTGGCACGAATGGGTCGGCTCGGCCGGGGAAGTACCACGCTCTCACAGAATACCAGCGTTAAGTAGCAGCGTCATCTTGCTGTATTTCGTATGGTGAGTGTAGAGAGAACCGGAGACACTTTTTACTGGAAAAGAGGCATTCCATCTTAGTCCTCACGGCTAACAACGCATCTGCATTTGAATTCGCAAACAAGGATAGATTTAGATGTCTATGGGCCAGAGCAACCACTTACCATCAGGTGGACTGTATGCTCGCTTGTCACCCTATTCCTATAAAAAATACTTTACACCAAATTTCTTAATTTAATTAAGGTAAATATTTTCGTTTACAGATACCCTCAGCTCACAGCATGGTTTGAGCGTTGCAAAGAGCAAGAATTTTATAAAAAGGGAAATGAGCCAGGAATAGAACAAATACGTGGCGTATTGAAGAGTAAACTTGGATAAAAACATTAATCTCTATTTAAAGAAACACAGATGGGTAGCGGTGCGGGTCGAACCTTGTGAGCACAAAAAGACAAAAAAATATTTAGTATAAGCGAATAACACGTGTTTATCCACGGAAAAACGACGGCTTCTGCGCATGTCAAAAATGTACTCACGTCTTGTGCCGCTATTTATATACCTGATCTTATTTGTCAATAAACACCATTTAATATGTTAGTTGTATTTCTCCACAGTAATTCACCTTATAACATTAATATTTATAAAGGTATAATTACAATAAAGTTTTTGGGTTCTCACTGTACTAGTTATATTCCACATATTTTATTTTCTCATCTTCGGCTGCTAATCATGCGGTCGCGAGTTCGAATTTCGGTCCCGCCAAAGTCAGTTATTGGATTTCTTCTGCAAAGTGGTAGAGCGGTGGTAGAGCCACGCAGCAGTTTTTGCTGTTGCATGTATGGGCCGGCTCGAGCCGGGTTGGTACCACGACCTCACAGAATACCGGCGTGAAGTAGAAGCTCTGCTTCTGCGTTTCGTCTGGTAAGTGCAGGTGGCCGGAGGCCCAATTCCCCCCCCCCCCCCCCCCCCGCCCATCAACATGGTAGCGGAATTACACGATCAACTACCCCAGGAGGGTACCAGAACCCCTGAAGAATCCCTCGCTGAGCATCCACGACCATGTTATTCCGATCCTGAGCGTGGGTGCTCAGGCTGCCCCGCGTATACTGGGGGGGGGGGCAAAATTCCGCTCAAAAGCATAACTGCTAAGGGCAAACTGAGCAATAACACCAAGGCGACCCCTGCCACGCTATCCGTGAATTTCTGCAACATCAGGGGACTTCATTCTAACCTAAACGCCGTCCACTACCATCTCGAGACGGCGAAGCCGGCCTTGCTCTTTCTGACCGAGACGCAGGTTTCCTCTCCGGCTGATATTTCGTATCTCTCTTACCCGGGGTACAAATTGGAGCATTCCTTTGTGCCTCGGGCTGGAGTTTGCGTGTATGTCAGAGAGGACATCTGTTCTTGACGCCTCGGCAGTCTTGAAGGTTCGGACCTGTCCATACTTTGGCTACGCGTAGACAGCGACAACCATCCGCGCGTCTACGGGTGCCTCTATAGGTCCCATAGCGGTAATGCCGAAACAGAACGACTCATCGACCACGTTCAAATGGCTACAGACTCCTTGCTACAACAGGTCCCATCCGCAGAGATCGTGATCCTTGGCGATTTTAACGCCCACGACTTTGCCTTGGCATATGGTCTGACACAACTGGTTACTTCGCCTACGTGGATTCCAGATGTGGAGGATCATACACCTTCCCTGTTGGACCTTCTGCTGACCTCTCATCCGGACGGATATCAGGTTTACGTCGATGCCCCTCTCGGCTCTTCGGACCATTGTCTGATCCGGAGTGTGGTGCCACTCACGCTCCCTTCGCGGTTGCGTTCTGCAGGTTGCCGCCGTGTTTGGCATTACACGTCGGCGGATTGGGACGGAATGCGGTCTTTCTTTGCATCCTACCCATGGGGGCGGGTTTGCTTCTCGCCGGACGATCCCAGCGCTGTTGCTGACTCTGTCACTGATATGGTGCTACAGGGAATGGAACTATTTATTCCATCATCTGTGGTACCCATCGGAGGCAGATCTCAGCCTTGATTTGGTCGCTCCTGTAAGATTGCATTACGCAGTAAGCAGGAGTGTTATCATGCCTGGGCTGCGGCTTCGGCGACTCGGGATGTAAATACCAGCACACTTAAAAAGAAGTATAACTTCGCTTCCAGGTCCTTCAAAAGAGTTATTGCCGAGGCAAAGTCAGAGCACATAGGCAGAATTGGCGAGAAACTAGTTCACCTTCCTTCGGGAACCCGTGCATTCTGGTCTCTCGCCAAGGCTGTCCAAGGGAATTTCTGTAAGCCATCACTACCATCTCTGCACAGGGAGGATGACTCACTGGCACATGACGCAAAAGACAAAGCCGACCTTTTAGGCTCCCTTTTTGCGTCCAACTCGACTCTTGATGACGGGGGGAAAACACCGCCGACCATCCCGCGGTATGAGTGCTCCATGCCGGATGTGCTGTTTTCACAGCGCTCGGTTCGCAAAGCACTGCTCTCCCTGGACATCCAGAAGTCGAGTGGGCCTGACGGAATCCCCCAATTGTGCTGAGGACGTGGGCTCCGGAGTTGGCACCGGTCCTAACGCGTCTTTTCCGGTACTCCTACTCCCAAGGCGTAGTCCCGAATTCATGGAAGACAGCTTTTGTCCACCCGATCCCTAAAAAAGGCGACCGCTCAGACCCATCCAACTATAGGCCTATCGCGATCACCTCCTTGTTCTCCAAAATAATGGAATCCATTATTAACTGCCAGCTCATCCGGTACCTTGAGGATCACCAGCTGATTAGTGACCGCCAATACGGTTTTCGTCGGGGTCGATCAGCTGGTGATCTTCTGCTCTACCTGACCCATAGATGGGCGGAGGCAGTAGAGTCCAAGGGGGAGGCGTTGGCCGTTAGTTAGTTAGTCTGGACATTGCGAAGGCCTTCGATCGGGTTTGGCACAAAGCGCTTCTTTCGAAGCTCCCTTCCTATGGGCTTCCCGAGAAATTGTGCAATTGGATCACCAGCTTCCTTGCAGATCAAGGTCATCAAACATCAAGGTCGTTGTAGACGGTGCATGCTCTGACTACAAGCCTATTAACGCTGGTGTTTCACAAGGCTGTGTGCTATCACCAACGCTGTTTCTTCTGCATATCAATGATATGTTGCAAGCCAGTAGCATTCATTGCTATGCGGATGACAGCACTGGTGATGCTCTATACACCGGCCGTGCCAATATTTCTCGGGAAAACGTCGCTGAGTACCGCAACAAACTTGTGTCTGAAGTCGAGTCTTTGCTGAGCAAAGTCTCGGATTGGGGGCGACTAAATCTAGTCCAGTTTAATCCTCAGAAGACACAAGTTTGCGCGTTTACCGCTAAAAAGAACCCCTTTGTCGTATCTCCTCAGTTTCAAGACACTTCTCTTCTTGCCTCAGCTATTATCGGTATTCTCGGAGTCGAAATATCAAGTGACGTGCAGTGTCGTGGTCACTTGGAAGGGAAGGCCAAATTGGCCTCTAAAAAGCTTGGCGTGCTCAGCAGAGCGGGACAGTATTTCATGCCGGCACACCGCCTGCAACTTTACAAGGCGCAAGTTCGGCCTCACATGAATATTGTTCCCATCTCTGGGCAGGGGCTCCCCAGTGCCAGCTCCTTCCACTTGACCGCATCCAACGCAGAGCTGCGCGAATCGTCGACGACCAAGCCCTTTCCGATCGGCTCGATTCATTGGCACTGCGAAGAGATGTTGCATCCCTTTGCATTTTCTTTCGCATCTACCATGGGGAGTGCTCTGAGGAATTGTTCGGATTAATCCCAGCCCCCAAATTTCACTAACGCACATCGCGGCAGAACTTCCGATACCATCCACACCATCTGGATGATTGGCGGTTCACCACTATGCGATTTAGAAGATGTTTTCTTCCTCGCACGACCTCCTTGTGGAATCGATTACCATCAGCGATTTTTCCGGACCGATACGACTTAGGGACCTTCAAGAAAAGAGCGTACTCCTTTTTAAAAGGCCGGCAACGCATATGCGATTCCCCTGGTGTTGCAGTTGTTCATGGGCGGCGGTAGTCACTTACCATCAGGTGAGCCGCATGCTCGTTTGCCCCCTCTCCTATAAAAAAAAAAGTGATTCTCAGCAACAACCTGTATTAAGTAATTTGGCGGTGTTTGAGCCACGTGCCTCGGAAAGCATGTAAATTGTAAAGCCGTTGGTCCTGCATCGGGTATCTCTCTGGTCGTGTCGGGTTTCCGGAATGGAGATTGAACCTGTGTTTGCGCGGTCTGTAGGACATTATTTTTTTTTTCAAAATCTACTGCATAATTAGGCCATCTTATAGTATGGTGTATATGTAAAGGTTACCTGACATTGCCGGAGCAATGGTCGAGCAAATAAGTACAAAAGCAGGGAGAATTTTAAAATAAACAACGTAAGTCCAACGTATCGAAGTATCAGCGGGCACCGGCTGGGGCGGGCGCAGCATATTATATAAATAAAAACGAATTTAGTACATGTTGTGTTCTCAGCATAACCCAAGTTTTTTCATTTGGTATTGATGGTGTTTTGGCGGGCACTGGCCGAGGCGGGCACGAGCACTTGAACTGTCCGATTTTATGTATTTATTTATAACAAAAAAGTAAGAAAAATATATAAAATTTATTGTCAATATGACCTAAAACATAATAAACCTTTTTATTTATTACATGAGAATGTCTCGACTTATTGAAGCATTGTTCATTTTTTTATACAGTTGTTGTAAATCCTAACTTACTCAGTAGCTCCGGACAGTCAACATTACCATTTGCCAATTTAAAAAGATAAATCATATCTGCTATGGGCCTACGTTCGCTATATAACTTTATTGTATTTAGTTACTTTAGTCACCTGACACTAATTTCTCATCACGCCATTGGTTGACCGGCAGATAATGCTAACTGGCATTAAGTCCGCCCTTTGTAACCTTTGTATTTGTTAGAACAATAAATTAAAGTTGGTAAAAATTGCCTTACGAACATCCGCTCAATAAAATAAAATGATGTGTCTTACCTAGTTTGAAGGGCACCTTCCGCCTTCCCTCAATTGCGTGCACTTTCCCCGTCACCACTAATCCCAACATCACTATACTAGCAAAGACACACCACTGACGACAATACGACACGTGTTTTGCCTCTACACGAGGCATCTTCAGGTAATGTAAACTCTGTGGTGGCTTACAGTGAAGTGAGCGGTGAGCCAAAAGAACTGCTATTTATACAGCCCGCTGTCGCAACAGCTCCCTACTTAAGTAGCGAGCCGCTGCGTCATGCGATAAATTATGCGACCAATCACCAACTGATGTACGCAGCCGCTTGTGAAATTAAAAACAAACAGCCGCGCAACGCCCGCCTACCCTCAAACCATGCCACCAATCGCCGATCACCATGAGAGTGACAAACGACCATATTGCGAGGCTGTTTGTTATTAGAGAGCAGGCTTAAAGATATTTAAGAGAGGGGAGTTAGAAACATTTGTTTGTTCATTCAGCAGTGCAACGTTACTATTATTATTTTTTTATATCCCTAACTGTTCCAGCACACACAGTCGCAGCTCTTTATTACACGTATGTAAGAGTTTAAATGAGTAGTCGTTGGCTAGGTTATGTCTAGTGTCCAAAAGATGTTTAGCAAAGTGGGATTTATCGTGTACGCGTCTAAATGCTCTTTATAACGTCTGTCGAAGCTGCGACCAGTCTGACCTACGTAAAACCACCCGATTTTTGACGAATATCCAACTTATTTTTATTAATAGAGAATTGTTTGTTTTAAACGCCACTTAAACGCTGCTTTATCAAAAATTATTAGCTATATTTTCAGATATGGGGTCTAAGTAAGTCAAACTTCTCACATATCGACGAACACTTTGAGGTTGAACCGCGTACAGAGAGTTGCAAACAACATGCTTTTGTTTCTTTTTAATAAAATTGTTAATGAGATTTTTTGAAAAACCGTTAGAGACCGCTATTTGATAAATTACATTTAACTCTTTTAAATAACCCTCTTTACTTAATGTGACGGTGAACAGACGAGTAATATAGCAATAAAAAGCGGCTAATTTATATGACACGATGACGCGATGACGCGGGGATGACCATGTTGATATAAGTTGGCTTTTGATAAATTTGGAGTATATGTGACGACTGTTTTCTTGTAATTGTTAAGTCGAGTAAATTAAGGGAACAATCTTGTTCCAATTCAAGTTTAAATTAAATTTTTTCCTGGACTCTATTTATATTATTAAGGAAAACACCCAGTTGTCTCCTTGTTTTAGTCCAGAAAATAATTATATCGGCTACATATCAATAGTAATATAAGATATTTTGATTGAAAACTGTATTTTCTATCTCAAAATTATCCATGAAAATGTACGCCATAAGGAGACTTAGAGGTGACACCATAGCTAACCTTCTTTTTGTAGAGAGAAATGGTTATTAAACCGGAAATAGTTTTGTTTCATACACAGAGAGGTTAACTTAAGAACATCATTTATTTCCCCAAGATGTAGACGACGTTTATCAAAGAGATCTGCGAGTATACGCAAACAGTCAGGGGATGGGACATTTGTGAAAAGACTATCAACGTCTAAAGATAACAATATGGATTTAGGAGGAATACGAATATCTTTAAGTTTGGAAATGAGATATACACTATTTTTAGGCTGTAAGTGGGATCGAATCCAGATTTCTCTCGAAGGAAGAAGTTAATTTTTTAGCAAGAAAATAAGCTGGTGCACCTATGTATAACACAACTGGACGAATAGGATCATGTTCTTTATGTATTTTAGGTAAGCCATATAAAATGGGTGCTGGAGGATTAATTGGATATTACTGAATAATGTGAATAGGACAGTTGTGAGATTTTATACATTTAAATTTAAATTACTTATACCATTACAAGCCTCATTAAGGATAGAGAAAGAGTTACGAAATACCGAGGCTTAAACGAGAAAATAGACCATTCAAAATTCTATTTCAAATTTAAAAAATATTATGTTTTGACTTTTTTAATTATTATACTCACAAAGTGAATTAAATAATACGGAAATTTTAATAAATCTATTATTAGGTTCTGGTGAGTATTTCAAATAGAACATCATCATATTCATCATTAGGCTGCAGCAGTCTACTGGGAAACATAAGGCTCTCCCAAAACGCGCCACCTGGCCCGGTTTCGGCTTTTCGGTTACAGTTGCTCCAAGCAACTTGTCTAGATCGTCGCTATTGTATCTGCTATGCTATCTTATTCTGTAAAAGGAATTAAATCGTATGTAATATATAAAATTTAATGTTTGTTTGTTTGTATTATGCACTGCCATATCATTCATCAGATTGCGGTAAAACTTTATCAACTTATTGCTGGCACTTGCGCGATATTTGGTTATAGGAATAGTACAAAACTTACAGTAGGTGACGCGCGTATCGCACTGACAAAATTATTTGAAAGTTATATATCATTCAACTTCAATAAATGTATTATCGTTCCTAATTAAACAATATAACTCAACCGAATTTCAAACAATATTTCCACAATTATTTCTTCTCTGGCAACAATACGGTGAGTACCAGCTAGTTATTTAAAAAAAATCTTGCTGTGAAGTGGCGGCATACCGTGAGTGTAGTAAAAGGTTATAGAAGGAAACTTAAACAAAATATGGGTAGCGGCATCTTTCTGATTACATTTAAAATAATAAAATAACTGCAGTTGCCATATCCGCCTGTCTAGTGTGGCAACTATGGCAAAATTTTGCCTATAAGGCTGCGGCTGTGACTGTAATGATGCCGATTTTTTAATCTATAAATACTCAATTTTGAGTCGCAATTATGCACAGGCAAATTGTGCATAGCAATTAATTGCGAGTCCTGTTTAAGTATAAATTTCGATTCAAAGTCATTAAGGTTAACATGAAAGCTTTAAAAACGACGAAAAACTTGCCATTAAAAACTTAATTTGAATACGTCTGAATGTGAGATCGTTAGTTTGCCCGTGAATATAACAGCTTCAGACCAAACTCGCTTCACGTGATTCATGCCACTTCCTGAAATTTTAATTTAATATTGCAGAAAATCAAAAGCTTTAATGGATTATGACGGTAAATTTAGCGAAAATAAAAAAAATAATAGAGATTAATGTTATTTAAAAGTTAACGTTTAACCGATCATGCGGGTAAATCTGTGTATGACTTTGCCTTGGCATATGGTCTAACACAACTGGTTACTTCGCCTACGCGGATCCCAAAGGTGGAGGATCATGTACCTGTCCTGTTGAACCTTCTGCTGACCTCTCATCCGGACGGATATCAGGTCTCCGTCGATGCCCCTCTGGGCTCTTCGGACCATTGTCTGATTCGGAGTACGGTGCCACTCATGCTCCCATCGTAGTTGCGATCTGCAGCTTGCCACCGCCGTGTTTGGCCCTATAGGTCGGCCGATTGGGATGAGATGCGGTCTTTCTTTGCATCCTACCCTTGGTTGCTTCTCGCCGGAAGATCCCAGCGTTGTTGCCGATTCTGTTGCTGACGTGGTACTTCTTTTTATTCCATCCTTTGTGGTGCCCATCGGAGGCAGATCCCAGCCATGGTTTGGTCGCTCCTGTAAAATAGCATCACGATATAAGCACGAGTGCTACCAGGCCTGGGCTGACGTATCAACGTCCCGGGATGTAAACACCAGCGCTCTTAAAAAGAAGAATAGTTCCGCTTCCAGGTCCTTCAAAAGTGTCATTGCCAAGGCAAAGTCAGAGCACATCGGCAGAATTGGCGAGAAACTAGTTCGCCTCCCTTCGGGAACACGTGCATTCTGGTCTCTCGCCAAGGCTGTCCAAGGGAACTTCTGTCAGCCATCTCTGCCATCCCTGCACAGGGTGGGCGACTCACTGGCCCATGACGCAAAGGAGAAAGCCGATCTGCTAGGCTCTCTTTTTGCTTCCAACTCGACTGTTGATGACGGGGGGAACACACCGACACACACAAATTAAAAGTAAAAAATATACAGTTATCTATACATATAAATTAAATTAAAGTGTCTGTCTATGAAACTGATGTAACTAGCTTCTTTTATACTCAGGCGTTATATGAATACAACTGAGATATAAATAACTATTACTAAAATTTTTGTCTGTCTGTCTATCCGGGCTAATATTCAGAATGCCTGAACCGACGAAACTTTACGAACTGATAGAGAGCAATATAGGGAGGGACTCAGGCTATATTTTAATCTTATTTTAATTATCTTTTAAAGATCTCATCCGTCCTCACTCAGAGAGCATATGGTGTGAGATATATTTCAGAGTAGAAAGGAAATTCTCTCACGGAAAAACTAGACACAATCTATGAATCCTATCAGCGTATGTAGAGAAATCATTTTCCATAAAATTAAATTAAGGAAGTCGGTCTTAATTGTTACTACGCATGATATAAAAGAATTTAGTTCTAAAGCCTTACTACAAAACATGGTTTATTGATAGGCCCAGTTTTAAGGAAGAGTCTCTCTCCTTTAGCCCCTTAGCTACGGCACCATAGCCTTCGAGAAATTTGACATTTGCTGCTAAATTTATTTGGCACTTTATATTTTTATTCGCATATTTTTCACGGCAATTGTTTAATGGAACACTCTAGTTTAAAACTGATACTAATTATAAATTTTTTTTTGGCAAATGGTGGTAAAAGTTCTAAAGTTCTAAATAGAGATT